TAGTAGAAGTTACTTTATTTCTGGCTTGGAAGTCACTTCACCTGGTGTTCCAGGTGTTCCTCACCAGTTACCTGAAGAGTTTCTAAAACCTTGCAGTCCCTAATATTCTGTGATGCATGTTGCATTACATTTGTTTCTCAGACATTCCTAGCCAGAGAAATGTGCATATCTTACAGCTGGATTCAAATTTGCAACCTTTGGATTAGAAGCCCCTGCCCTTACCGCTATGCCACACTACCCCCACAGCACACCCAAGCAGGTTTCATACTCGCCATGTAACAGATTCTATGAGGTGTGCTTTTTTCTACATTATATATAATTACTCAACCAATAGCCAACATGTTGGTTAGATTGCTACAGGGATGAGATGTGTTGTGGGGGTATGGGAATGTAGTAAAGTGCTGGTGACCATTTTCACTAGGGTTTATGAAACGGTGTGGTGGGAAGAAGTGGTGGCACCACTGCATGCAGAATGATTTAATGGGTCATGTCCCTGTTCTCTTGAAACAGCACGACTACAAGAGCCCTGCTTTGGGTTTGCAGTGCTCTGTGAATGTTGCTTGTAGCAGTGGCATATCTGTAATGAAAACAGAGTACATATTTGTCTCCCTGAAAGAGATCAGGCACAGCCAGAGAAACTCTATATACACATCATGCCCCAGCAGCTTGTTAGCTCTTCCTTCCTGCTTCTGGAGTTTGCACTACACCATTTGTAACTGCCATCTGAAAGCCACTTTCATTCCTCCACCACTGTGGGAGTTTACTGTATTACTTACTGCCTTGTATGTATAATTCATTAATTTCCTCAAAGAGTAAGAGAGCAAACAAGGAACAAACATATTTTAATGCTTTTCCCTGTTGGCGTTGATCCATTTTTTTCTGCTATTGTTATTTAATCATTACAACCTTGAAATGTTTAAATTCGCTTAGAGGAAGTGAGCGAGCAGGTGGCCAGGCAGTGGGGGGTGCGGGGGTGAGGTTGGGGGATGTGATGAGGGGGCGTGTGCCGTGCCCTCCAGGGGGCAGTATCACAGAGCGGCGTTGGGCCACACTGGTAGGACGGTTTAACACACACAGTAATAATGAACCTGCTGTTCACTGAGGCTGGCTGCTGGCCATTCGCTGTGAGGGGTCCGGCACCAAAGAACTTCCCCCTACATCAAAGGCCACTGTGTCACAGCAGCTGCTTCTGCTGGGGTGGGGTGATAAAAGGGGGGCACATTTCGGGCAGATTTACAGGCACAGACGAGAACCTAGTGCCAAACCTTTTGATTTTTTCTCATATTTGTTATAAATAACCAAGCTTTAATGCAGGACTTGGCAGCCGGGCACAGATGAAAGAACACTTCCTCCAGGAACACAAATGGGAATACATTTCCAGCATTTACAACCATGATCTATGCAATCTTTCTGTTTGTTTGTTTGCTTGTTTTGTTTGCATTCCTCTTTTTCCTCTGGTATGGCATTTTAAAATGCTTCCATCTGTGGATGTTTGGCAGCAGGGTGTTACACTTTGTTTGGCTGCCAGAATGTTTGGCATGTGCAAATTAATCGAAACTTCATGATCTTCCTTTGCCTCCTTAAACAACTTGAGCAAACACTCTCTTGTTAAAGAACTACCTTTACTAAAATCTCCCAGCAACTTCAACAGGCCTTCAGCAAATACAGCAAGGAGATGACATACAAATGATATATGCATATACAAATTTTTATCTATACACACACACACACACACACGTATATATATATATATATATATACATATATACACACACACCTCACATCAACCAGGAAACACCATCCCCACAGTGAAATACGCTGGTGGTAGCATCATGTTATGGTGGTGCTTTTCAGCAGCAGGGACTGGCAATCTGGTCAAGATTGATGGGAAGATGAATGCTGCACAATACATGGAGATTCTGGTTAAAAAGCTACTCCCTTCTGCCAGAAAGTGTAAACCTGGGAAAATTTTGTGTTTCAGCAGGACAATGACCCAAAGCACACTGCCAGAACAACACTGGATTGGCTTAAAATGAAGAAAATTGACGTCCTTGAGTGGCCCAGTCAGAGTCCTGACCTTAACCCCATCAAACATGTGTGGGAAGACCTCAAAATTTCTGTCTACCGCAGCTCCCCAAATAACTTGGTTCAGCTTGAATAATTTTGCAAGGAGGAATGGGCTAATATTGCTCCATCATGTGCTAAATTAATAGACTTATCCAAAAAGACTGGCTGTAATAGCTGTGAAAGGCGCTTCAACCAAATACTAAACAAGGAGGATGAATACTTATTAATTGTTAACATTTCAGATCTTTTTTATTCTTTAATGGTTTATAATTTTATTTCTTTTTTGGGCTGCACTGTTGCAGAGTTGAGTGATTCACAGATTTTAAAAATCCCAGTCCTAGCAGCAATTGTCCAGTTTCATTGTCTCCCTGTAACATGTCCAATATAATGCTTCCTAATTGTGTCATTCAACCATCATATGGCTTGAATGTCTGTATGTGTTGATATGAGGCACAATTCTACCAGGAGAGAAGCACAGGAGAATCTTGGGAAGGGCTCCTCTCCAGTTTGGAGGACCATGATCCAGCTGCATTTCCTGCTCCCTCATACTCTCATAGCTGGCAAACCATACTCATACAGGCAAGGCCATGGTTAACGTAATCAAGTAATAAAGAAGTGAGCTGGAACAAAATCCAGGACCAAGGCAGAGTAGCCCTGCAGGCACTGCGACCCTCCGACACTAGGGTAGAGTAGCCCTCAAGACACTGTGGCCCTCCAGGCCCAGGGTAGAGCAGCCCTCAAGGCACTGTGGCCCTCCAGGCCCAGGGTAGAATAGCCCTCAAGGCACTGTGGCCCTCCAGGCCCAAGGTAGGATAGCCTTGTAGTCACTGTATGTGTGACTGGCCCCTTCCCTGTCCTTTTGCCTGGCTCTGTGCAGAGTCAGCTCTACCCGTATGCTCAGGGACAGGGATGCCCAGCAAGGAGGCCGGAGTGAACTCAGAGCCAGCACCAGTGATCAAGTGCCCTGTGCCTCCTCAGAAGACTTTCCCTCTGTCTGCCAGTGCTACCCAATGCCCTCCCTTCCATATGCCTTGGCAGCCATAACTCTAATAGGAGAATATTGGTTAATGAAGCCAGCTTTCCAAGGGTCAGAATAATGACAGGAAGGCAGGTGTGTGGATCGAGGTACCTGCTGGCCATGTTTTTACGCTGATGTGGTTCCTGCTTGATCCCTGTGAACCCCTTTTTATTTTCTCTGTACTCTGCCAGAGGTTTATGGAATGGACTGGCCAGTTGGCATTTGATACTGAGTGCTAAGGACCACATGCTCCACTGTAACAGGAGTAGCCATGTCTTAAATCCCACACCTTTTCTGTCAGGGTAGAGTCAACACTCTTGATAAAATGTGGTTAATGTCAGTATAGATCCAGATAGATTGCGATTAGTTTCACTGAAATTATGGGACAATTTGGTGATTTTGAAATTTCTTTTTGTATGGTGCTGTCTCAGTGTAATAAACATTGCATTGACAGAGGGCTGTCCTAATGAAACACCATACAGCTTGCACATTTTAAGTCATCACAGATATGATTCCCTCTTCAGAGCATGAAACACAGAACAGCCTCAGACCTTAATGATGGTCTGAAGACAGAGGAAAGGAAGCCAACAGGAAGCTGTAGATGGTTGAAACTCTGGTGTGAGAGCTTCATAGTATCATGTTTCAGCCCAGACTAGAGTGATATAAAGAAAGGCATGTCAGGCCAAGGCTAAACTATGAGAGCCCAGCTGTGCATAAATACAGTACATGCTAGTACATGCTTCCCTCATAATGGGGGAAGGGTCCTTCAAGGCAGAGGATGGACTTGTACATGCTCACCAAGGCAACAATGTTCTCTGGTGGTTAACAAACAGGATAGAGAGCTTGTTTTTTCTTGCTCTCCGGGGTAATTATGATGTTTTCAGGCGTCGGCCTCTGCTGCCATAATTGGCTTAGTTCAATAATTAATGAGCTTTAAAAAAAGTTCAGGCTGGAGTCGGTTTGATTTAATAATTAAGATGTTGACAGTAAAAGGGGTGGGGGAAGGGTGAGGACACCCTCCCATCCAACATTATTAACCTGGATGGTCTCCTCTCAGTCAGCATTATTAACCTAGATGGCCTCGGGTGCCTTGGTAAGCAGTGTGTTCTCATAAGTATGACAGCTCCTGCCAAATAAGGATCCAGAGATGGTATAACCTGTCTGCCAAGAGAAGCATTAGCAACAAATAGATTCATATAGCAACTATATGTAACCCCCTTTATTTCAAGGGATTACTGTATGGCAATTTACAATGCGATATTTTTTGCTAACATGCTATAATGTACTAGTCACATGTACTGGTGTATATAATGTAAATGCTGTATCACCATGCTGATTGTCTTGGAGACAGGAATTGGAATGACATGGAAGGACACCTGATAGCTAGCTAGCTACATAGCCTGGATCAAAGTTAGACACATAATCAAATTTGTAATTTGTAAGTTTCAAGTAAAACATGTCGGTCAATCTTAGAAGGTCAATGTTAGAAGGACTGCACCTCCATCAGCATTCCTCCACTGACAACACCACCCCCCCCCACCACCACCTTTGGATCATAGGGAAGTGAAGATTTAGATATATTCCCTATAACTTGGGTTTCTTCATATTGCTATATTAAATTCTTAATGAGGGTGATAATTAAACCTATGTTATGGAATATACTAATTGGCTGCACACTTTTGTTTAATATTTTTTACTACATTTCCCATACTTTCACACCCTTCCTGTCACTTTTACAGCTCCCTCACATCTACCACACACCTGGCCAAGAAATGAATGCTGAAGATTCTAGATCCTATGTCTCTCCCTAGCTACTCAGGTCAGAGTTAACCTACCCTTTTGAAGGAGTGAAGTCACAGTTACAAGGACTTCAATGCCCCCCCAGAAACAATTGATCTAGAGTGGCAGTGTGGGTTGCAGTGTGGCATAGTGGCAAGGTGCTGGACTTGTAAACAAAAGGTTGCTGGTTCAACTCCCTGCTGGTGCACTGCTGTTGTACCCTTGGACAAGGTACTTAACCCAGAATTGCCTTTATAAATATCAAGCTGTATAAATGGGTAACATTTTAAAAAATTGTAACCTATGTAAGTTGATAAGAGCGTCTGGATAAGAGTGTCTGCTAAATGACAGTAATGTAATGAGTAGAGAATCTTAACAAAGAGATGTAGAGGAATGGAGCCTGGTGAGTGATCGAACACCAGCAGTCCCCATGTGAGCTCTGGCCATGGTTTAGCAGGCAGCGATCTTTGTACAAAGGGTGCAATTGAGCCAAATGGTAGAATGAGATCAGACAAGCAGGCCATCTGGGGTGCTGATCTGAAAGCCGGGGACCAAATGAATTGGCACTGCCTATTGTGTGATGAGTCGTGCTTGAGTCTTCACATTGTGCCACTGACAGATGCATAGCATGGTTTGATGAGCAGCACTGAGCATTCAAGAGCGGCTCATATTTATGGGGGGTTTTCAATAACACAGTTAGCAGTTTCCTCACAGACAGCAGAATGCAGCAGATCTTTCCAGGAGCTTATAAACAGTCTGGAACAACTCTTAGGATCATGTTGGAAGGTTGATTATGTTTCTGTGTGGATGCAAGACAAAATAATAATTATGAGGTAGCTTTTGCTTGGATTTTGCATTGAGGGGTCAGGATTGGTTTTGTCTGGGAGGAGATGATTACAGTTATCTGAGAGAGGTCACAATCTAGGTGTTCCTCCAGTGAAAATATCTGTGTCCATGGAGAACACATTCTTTACCTGAAAGTGAGTTCATGTCCACCCAGGCCAGATATCAAAGAGGGCTCATCCAGCATGATAGCAAGGTAATTTAGATGGGCAAGGGCAGAAAGAACAGGTATTTAACCAATAAGGGTATAAATTAAAAATGTCAGAAAGATTTGATCTGAACTCCTCAGAGCAAAGAGTTAGCAAAAAAGACAGGAAAATGAAAGGTTCAGTGAGAGATTTTTCTGACATCATCATAACAAGCCATATTTTCATTTTAGATTCACACTGGCAACTTGTGTTTGGGGGGGAGGGGTGACCTATAAAAGCTTTTATTACAAAGAGATAAAAGCTGCTTTTAAATCTCAGCTTTTGACAAGAAATATAGGGCATTAAGGCATGAAGTGACAAAGGGATGAATGTATTGGCGCAGTAAACACACAAAGCAGTGATAAATCATTCCACTCTCCCTCCCTCTCTCTTTCTGTCTCTCTCCCACTCTCTCCTTCCCTCCCCCTGCCTCTCTCTGCGCCTGTCTCCTTCTCTCTCTCTAGCTCCTTTCCTTCTCCCTCTGTCTTCTTGTGTCTCTCTGTCTCTGTTCTTCTCCCTGCCTCTCTCTGTGCTTGTCTCCCTCTCTCCCTCTCTCTCTTTTTCTTCTCCTTCTCTCTTCTTGTGTCTCTGTTCTCCTCCCTGCCTCTCTCTGTGCTTGTCTCCCTCTCTCTTTTTCCTCTCCTTCTCTCTTCCTATGTCTCTCTGTCTCTCGTTCCTTCTCTCTCTGTCTCTCACTGTCTCTCTCTTTCCTTCTCTCTCTGCCTCTCTCATCTGTCCCTGTCTTTACCTGTGTGGGTTGTGGGAGTCTCTCCCTCCCAGTGCATCTGCTACAAGTAGTAGCAGAAAAGCAAAGCGCAACACACAAATTTGATCAGGGACTTAAGGAGCTGCCCATAAACAGCAAGTAGCCCCCCCTCTCCATAAACAAAACTCAACACCACAGCCCTTTAATTCCCCTGTACACCCAGTACACAAGTAAACACAGCCTCCAACAGTCGACACTCATGTCCTGCTCCCTTGTGATTTGTTTTCCCATTAGTACAGAATGCAGGCACTGCATTACCTAAGCCAGAGACACATGTCATCCTGCATTAGCCCATCCAGGTGGAACAGAAAAGGCCATACGATCATTATGTAGTCTTTGGGGGGCGTAGTAGTGGAGCTCCATCATGACTCATTACTCTCCATGCAAGCAGCCCATGGACCCCGATCCTGACTCCTGGCCTTCTGCTATCTGGAATCGAGGTCGAAATGACTAATTGAACTCGTTGGGTACCTCAGCCACAGGGACTCATGGACAAGGACTTCATGGGAGCATGAAGAGGGGTGGACGTGGGGTGGGGAGTAGTAAAAAACACTCAGGAACAGCATTAGAGGTCTGAGAGAATGCAGGTCATGAGGCCAGGGAATGGAGCTTATTCCAAAAGACTGAAAAGTAAACAAAACACACATACACACACACACACACACACATTCATAGACAGGGATAGACAGACACTTAACAGGATAGTTGCTAAAAGCCACAAACTAATGGTCTCAAAAAATACCACAGAACTGAATCTACACCTTCATGACCCAGCCTCAGCAAAAACTGTATGCCATGAACTACAAAAAGCTGATATTTATGGTCATTCAGAAACCAATTGCAACCAAGGCAAAGGTGCAACCTTGTGTACTGAGAAAAAAATCTGGACTTCTGAACAGTGGAAGAAAGTAATGATGAGTTGTTTTTTACTCTTTTTCCAGCGTCTGGACAGGTTTATGTTTGGAGAAAGGCAAAGGAAGCCTTCAAGCCACATTGCCTGCTCCCAACTGTTAAACATGGTGTTGGGTCTGTTATGGTATGGACAGCCATTTCATGGGTGTCACTGGGTCTGATTATTACTTTGCATGGTAGAATTATGGCTAAGGAATGCGAAGGCATTTTTCGTGATCAGGTGCACCTTCTTTCCTCAAGATGTTCCCATATTTCAGGAACATACACACTGCTAAACAGATTCAAGTATGATGTCATGAACACCAAGGTGAAGTAAAATATCTTCCATGGCCTCCGCATTCACCAGATCTAAACGTCTTTCATCTTTATGAAGACATAGAGAGCAGAGTACTAGCTCCGTCCAGCTCCTTCATCTCTCAAAGAACTAGAGGCTTTCCCTCTTGAGGAATGGTACAATAACCCTCTGGAAACAGTTCAAAAGGCGTTTAACAGCATTATGAGATGGACTGAAGCCGTTCTGAAGGCAGTTGAGTTGGTGGCCCAACTCCTCATTAGTTAATAAATATTGTTTGGTGTTTCCATAACTTTGTCCACCCCTGTAAATGTAATGTAATTACATATGTATATATTTAAATGTGCATGCAAAACTTTCATCATGTGAAAAGGTTCAAGGATAGTCCCGTGAAATACCTTGGCAAGCGAGAACTCACCATGAGAAGGTCAGAAGGCTGCAGGTCCAAACCCTACCTGCGGCACTAAACACCCAGTTGTATAAATGGAGCACATGTAAAAATGAAAGTTGCCTTTGAAAAGGGTTTTTGCTAAGCATAAACAATACAACAGGGAAGAGTATGGGTGGAAAGCCCAGGAGCCTCCCGTGGCTTCAGATTCTTTTTATTCCCTGTGTTTTAATGTGATACATGTCAGTCACTACAATCTTTGCACAGCTTGCAAACTGCATAGAAAAATAGTATCTTCGTGGTTGATGAAGTGATCCACTGCAAGTAATGGCCTTGCACAATGCTATGCAGCAGGCATTTGTTTTTCTTATGTTAATTCCTGCCTGTGCTTCTTGCAAAGCATTTATATTTAAATCATAGCACACAGTTCTCATTTTCAGCAGCAATAAAGGTTTTAATGTTGAAGGAGGACATAATTATGGCCCAAGCAATCAGGGTGAATAGAGACAGGCCAAAGGTGCCAGAAGTAGTTTTATCTGCAATTAGATTTGATGTCTGCCCCTATTCCTCCACATATAGGTCCTCCTCTGGGCATCCCTTTAACAAGGAAAATTCAAAGAGACTTCATTTAAGGGTTTTCAGAATTAATTTTTAGCACTGTTGATGTTGTTAAACACTGCTAAAAATGTGTTTCATTGAGCCTGTTCTGTCCCATCTCAGGGTGAGTTGTGATCTGTGTGGTACTGACCAGCACTCACCAGTGGTCATATCCAGTATCATATCACAGACCACACGTTGCTGAGTCATATCACAGACCACCTATCTGCGGACTCATATCAGAGACCACCTACCTGCTGAGACATATGACAGGCCACTTCTCTGCTGCATCGTATCACAGAACTCTTATCTTCTGAGTCATATCAAAGACCACATATCTACTGAGTTGCATCACAGGTCACATTTTGCTGAGTCATATCAGAGATCACTTAGCAGCAGAGTCATACCCAAAACCACTTGATCTCCTGCATCATATCACAGACTACACATTGCTGAGTCATATCACAGACCACATGTCGCTGAGTCATATCAGAAACCACATATCTGCTGAGTCACATCACAGACCATCACTGTGACCATCGCATCATTGTGACCACATGTGGCCCAAAGCAATTTCCAAGCTGTAGGCTGAACATCATCCTGTAATGATTAGGAGCCCAACTACATGAAGTTTTTACGGGTCGTGTGTGAGATCAGGATGGATCTGCCTACAGAAAGTGCTTCCTAAAGAGGTCTGCATTCACTGGTATTCAGATTCTAAAGCTGTTCAAACATTTGCCTTTTACCCCTTAATGCACTGGACCAGTTATCGTTCCTCAGCATCTTTCTCTGAAAGATAAATTGTGATTCTGTCCAATCTAGAGATACAAATAACCATGCCACAGTAGCTGTCCCTTAGAAGGAAACAGATGAGTCTTTCATCATTTTTAAATGGCTGCGTAATGTTTCTATTCATGCTGTTCAGTGTTCAACAAAGAGAGCCAGCGAGCGTGTGTGTGCATTGCTTGTGCTTTGGCGATATGCACTTATTCTGCAACAAGGTTCTGTGCCAATAAAGCATTTTGAATTGGAGTGAAATTAAACTGAAGGGGGCGGAGAGAGAGAGGGAGTGAGAGAAAGAGAGGAAGTGTGAAAACGAGACGGAATGAATTCAGTGAATCCACTGAAAGAAAAAGCATGTAGAGCACTATCTGCAATTAAAAGAAAACTCTATAAAGTAGACATATCATTTAGACGTCGGTCAAAACTCTTTAACAGTGTTG